GTGTGTGTATATATACTTATATAAAACGTATGAGCCAGTCCTTCTATTCCCGGACGAACACTCGTACCGCAAGTGGAATCCCTGTGAATTTCCACCACAAAAAAAAAACATTTTATTTAATTTCTATTTTGTTTTTGTTTCTGCCTGGGGTATACACAAAAAAATTGTTTTCTTTTTTGTTTTTTTTTTTGGTTTTAAGAGTAACAATGGCATTTTTCTAGCTCTGTTAGCCGCCCGAAGCGTTTCGGTTTTCGGACAGCACAGGACGACATTTACTCTTTCCATTTATTTAATTTCAATGTATGGAAGGATCTACCTTTTTTTTTTTTGTTTTTATTTTGATTTTTTTGTTTTTTTTGTTTTTGCTTGCTTGCTTAAGTTGAAAAAATGCCAGATAATATCGACTATACATATATATATATGTGTTTTGCATTAGCTTTTTATTGCATCAGTCCCATTTGTTTTGAGTTTTATCGCTATCGATTATGTTTTAGGGGGTGTTTGTTATGTTGTTGTTGTTGTTGATTTTGTTGTTCTCAAGATCGAGTTAAGCACCATAAAAAGTATTTACTCCCCGTCCAGCTGGCATACACATAACGCACGCTCTATTCCCGATTTCTTTATTATATATATATCTATATATATATATATGTATATGCAAGCGGCCTTCATTTGGTTTAAATATATGTATATATTTTTTTTGAATATTTTTCCTTTTTTTGAGCATATTTGAAACAGTTTGCGTTCCAATTGTTCTGTATCGAGTATTCTATATATCGTGTTTAGCGGGTGCTGCCTGTGGTCTGAGTGAGTACTACTTAGGGTCGTCTACGTGTGTGTGTGTGTGTGTGTGTGTGCGTGTATGGGTTGTGGTTTAACTCTTTTAAGTGTGTTATTAAAAATTAGCTAACTAATCGTTAGGATGCCAGTGGTGTTTCTATCTGTTTGGTTTCTTTCCTTTTTTGTGGGTGCACTCAGGGAACAGATCTAACAATATATCTAATGCGTGTGTTTCATGCTCGTTACTCGCTACTCGTCACTCGTCACTCGTTACTCGTTACTTTTAACTCGTTATTTACAAAGACATAAGAGCAAACCGAAGAATTATACTCGCTAGTCTACAAATGGTCTGGCTTAATTGGAGGGGCTTTCTGTGTGTTGGGGAACTTCAGTTTTGGTTGTTGCTTGGGTGCCATCTCGCCTATGGTATATGGTATATGGTATCTATATGCATATGTACGTATGCCATATATGGTATTATCTGTTTAACGGGGTCCACTAAGCTACTATCTGAGTGGGGGCTCTGGTATTTCTAGCTCAAATGCATTGCAATGCACTTACAATTTATGGCCTAACACTTATTTGATAACACGCAGTGCAAAAATATGGTATCATCATCATTATCATCATCATCATCATTATCATCATCATCCTTAGCTTTCATTATCATCATTGTGTGTTGTATTTCTTATGCATTTTTTGGTTTTTCCTTTACATGCAGTATGTATTTGGGTTTTCTCTTCATTCTCTGATGCTTTACAAAAGTTTACTCTTCTATATTTTCTATCGTTTTTGCTCTATTCATTATTCATTATTCATATTCATCATATATATATATATATATATATATTTGTTTTATGCTCTTAATACATACAATACATTTACATACATTTATGTACTCCTTTATGTATTTGCTGCTGCGTACTATATTTAATTTTCTTTTATTTTCTTTTTTTTACGTTTGTTTCTTATTTCTGTTAAAATCCAAAACCAAGAAACAAAAGATAAACTTTCTGCTACGGAAAATCTCATTGTGAAAACAACTCTTGAAGGCAATTTCATGTCAGACTCTTGCTTTCGCATTTTCTTTACCTTTTCTTTTGTGTCTGTGTGTGTGTGTGTGTGTGTGTTTTCGTGTGTGCGAGCGAGAGAGCGCGTCTGCTTGGGTTTGTGTAAGGCGCGAGGAATTGTTAATTCGTTTCTCATGTGGGGCTTCGGGGTCAAAGCAAGGTCAAGTTTTTATTTGTATCTTTGCTATCTATTATACTACATTTATTTCTGTTAGTTTTTACAGGGTATACGCTGCCCGATGTACGCTTGGAACAAAACAAGAAAAATAAGTTGTTTTTATTTTTAACAATAAATAAATTGGCCTTTTCGAAGCTTTCTGCTCGAGACTTTTCCTTAAATGCCCCTTTGATCTTTTATCATTCATTCAACTTTTCATCGTTCGGCATAAAAGACAATTTGTTTTTAGGTCTTCTTCTTAAGGATTATTCCAATCAAACGATATTTGTTTACCCAGATTGCGAGATTATCAAAATAGTCTATAAGAATTGCTTCAATTTCGATGCAATTTCGAGCCCTTCTCTTTAGAGCTCCCAAAAGTATGCTACACTTTAGAAAGTGCGGGTAAATCTTGAGACACTGCAAGGACGATTTGAATACTATATATTTCAGCTACTCAAAGCCAATTGCAATTGCCCGAAAACAGAAGCTTGGAGTTCTTGGGGTTGTGGTGGGTAGGCATTTTGGGCACAGAGACAACAGAAGGAGTTATAAATAAAAACTGAAAATGATTTAAGAATTACATTTATTAAAAATGTTGTTAAAAAAAATGTATACAGACAGCAAAAAAATCAACAAAATTAATACATTTACAATAAACGATAGTGCGACATCGATATCGATAACAAACGGCATCGATAGCAGCCCAATTTCAGGCGATTTCATTCTTTTTTTTTTGTGTGTTTTCATTTTTTCTTAGTTGTTTGTTTCTTGCATTTTTTTGTTTTTTTTTTCTGTTTCTTTTTGGGTTACGACGACGACGCGATCGCGAGCCATATAATATTCATATATATATATAAAAAAAAATCATAGTATATATATGTGTATATATATAGATATACAAATATATATATATGTATGTATAGTAAATTGTATGTGCTAGGCGATAATTATGTTTAGTATGCATATGTATATATATGTATATATACATATATGGGTATATATACATACAATAATAATAATTAATAAAAAAAAATAATTATAAATGAATAATTAGAATTAGGTTTCATTTGTTTTCTTTAAGTGTACAATACATACATACAAACATACAAAAAAAAAAAAATAATAATAATAATAATAATAAACAGTTGTATAACTTTGTATGCACACATTTTTGCTTGCTTTCTTTTAATATTAGAGTAGGATTAGCTTAGGCTTAGATGTATGTGTGTGTGTGTGTGTGTGTGTGTGCGTGCGAATGTTTGGTTGTTGTTGTTCACAATCCTCTCTTATCAGAGATGCACAAAATGGATGCGTATGTGTGTGTGTGTGTGTGTGTGTTGTGTCGATTAAACTAACATTACATAATATGCCATTTGAATAATTTAAAGTAGAAGTTTGCTCTCGATTTTGCTGTGTTATCGTATTATCGATAAACTTTGCGAAGCGCGCCAACCGCCAACACCCGCCCCTTTCCGCACAACCTATCAGCCCGTTACACGCAGCGCAGCCCGTGTGTGTGTGTGTGTGTGTGTGTGTGTGTGTGAATTTAACTACAAAAAGTACTTAAAAACGAACGACAATAAAAACTAGCTAAATACGACTATAATTCCTATATATATATATAATAGATGTATGCATGTATATATATATATATATATATATATATATATATATTTATGTATGTATATAGATAGATATATATATGTATATATACTTTATGTGGTTGATTTTCTTTGCCTTGCGTTATATGTATATATCTATTCAGATCTGTGTGTGTATATATTATATATTAATATATATCTATATATAATTTTTTGTGTATATATATTTATATAAAAAAAAAAAAACAATGCATTCTTATAGCTGTATATATGAATGAGAGTGTGTAAGTGTGTAGGTGTGTGTGTGTGTGTGTGTGTGTGGCTTTAGTCAACTACAACACATTAGCTCAAATCTGAACTGATCTTAAATCAACTTTATATGGATACATGTTAACACTTAACTTAGATTTTTCTGCTTTTTCTTTTTCTTATTCATTTTCTTTTCTTTGTGTTTTGCAATTTTTGCTCTTTAAAATTTTGCACAAAAAAAGGTGTGTGTGTGTGTGTGTGTGTGTTAAAGTAATGTATGTATATAGTAAAAGCATAATTTATTTAGTTTAAAAAGTCAACACACACATTCGTAATGCCGTTAAACCACCGAATCCACTTCTAAAATCGAACTAACGAGAAAAAAAAAACAAAAAAAAAACAAAAATATCAAGCCGGACCAAACTAAACTGTTCCATACCATATCGTTTCATTTCCATTCCATTGCGTTCCGTTGCGCGCAGTCTGCAGTCTTGTGTTCGTCCTGGTCAGTGTGTGCTTGATGTTTACGGGCTTACAGAAAACACGCCCATTCGTAATGTCGGTAGTCGAAAGGAAAACGTTTCATTCCATTTCGTTTCAGTCCGTTAAATTGCATTGCATTGCATTGCTGTTGGCAGTCTTGTGTTCAGTGTGTTGGGTCAGCGTATTTGGGATACTTCCATTCCATTTCATTCCATTCCATTCCATTCCATTCCGTTCCGTTTCCTTCGTTCACGTTCCATTTTGTCGGCAGTCTTGTGTTCTGTGTGTAAGGACATTTATAGTTCGTCTGCATTTCATTTTCCATCCATTCCGTTCCGTTTTCATTTCGTTTCAGTTGTCAGTCCGCAGTCTTCTGAGTACGTTAGGCTTGGGTTAGGGCATTTGGATTGTTCGCTTGGTTCTACAACAGGCTTGTGCTTTTCATTTACATCTTATTTTTCTCTTCTCCTTCTTATTCTCTGTTTTTTTCGTGTGCTTTTAGGTTAGGGTCGGTTTTGGCTTATAATATCTCCAACAAGGGGTTGGGGGCAGGGAGGGAGGGAGGGAGGGTGAAAACTAAAATACATGAAAATACAATATGCTCTACATTATGTATGTAGTAATAATAATAATGATGATAATAATAATAATAATAATAATAATAATCGATAATTGGTAATCGGTAATCGGTAATCGGTAATTGTTAATTGGTAATCGGTAATCGATAATAAAAAACATGCTTTAAGTGTACTATTCTAAAATAATTCAGTCATCAGGTAACATTGTTTTGAACACAACTACAGTAACAGAAGCTGAGGTCACGGGCGTGCGCGTAGGCGGGCGCATGGGCGTGGCAGCGGCGGCATTATAATTATTATTATTATAATTATGATTATTACTATTAATATTATTGTTGTTGTTGATGTTGATGTTGTTGTTGTTGTGTGGTGCTGTGGATGATGTTGCATGTGGTGTTGTTTGTTGTTGCGGTTGTGTTTGTGTTTGTGTTTGCGTCGTCGTCGTCGACACGGCGGTCCATTGTTGCATAGCTGCTGGGCGCATTGTTAACGACGCGGGCGTGCCAGTGGACAGCAACAGCTCGTCGGTCTGTGTGTGTATTGTGGCTGTGCTGGCAACAGTTGCCTGCTGATGGCAACAGCTGCCGTTGGGCAGCGATGTTGCTGCTGTTGCTGTTGCTGCTGACAATTGGTATTTGAAATTAACTGCGTGCATTGTTCATAAATATTGTTGCTTACCGTTTGCCACTTGACTCGAACTGTTGCTGCCGTGACAGTTGCTGTTGCGTTGTCGCAGCATCGGTTTGGCAGTGATTGTTATTGCGCCTGGGCCTGTGGCAGTGTTGCTGCTCAAATTGATAATCCTGCGTGGCACTTTTAGCTGTTGCTGCTGCTGTTGTTGTTGCTGCTGCTGCTGCTGCAATGCGAGCAACTGTTGCTGCTGCTGTTGTGCAGTGGCTATTTCACTTAGGCTGGCCAATGTCAACGCCGTTTTGAGCACATGCGCTGGCGGCGGTGTTGTTGCTGCGTTTGTTATTGTCGTTGTTGTTCTCGTTGTTGCGCCAGCACTCGCTGTTGTTGCTGCTGTTGCTGTTGCTGTTGGTTTGTTAGCAGCTGCTGCCATTGGACGTTGTGACATTAAAGCCGTTTGAAGAATTGATGTATATTGTTGCTGTTGTTGCAGATGTTGCTGTTGCTGTTGCTGTTGTTGCTGTTGTTGCAGATGTTGCTGTTGTTGTTGTTGCAGATGTTGCTGTTGCTGTTGTTGTTGTTGCTGATGTTGATGTTCAAGTCTTTTGCTCTCTTCTAAGCTGTTGCTGCTGCTGCTTGTTGCCAGCTTGCCAGCGACAGTGGCAGCATTGCAGCTGCTGCTGCTGTTGTTGCTGCTGCTGTTGCTGTTGTTGCTGCCCGCCTCGATGGCCACTGCTGCTGAGGTGCGCGCTATTTGATCGGCGGCTGCTGTCAGCGTGGCCAATGTGGCCGCAGCTCCACTCAGCAGCGACGACTTCAGTATGGACGAGGAGGCATTGCTGGGCTTGGCTGTGGCTGTGGCTGTGGCTGTTGTTGTTGCTGCTGCTGTCAGCGGCAACGGCAGCAATAGAGACGATTGCTGTTGCTCGGCGTCGCCAATTTCGATTTTGATCTTGGGCAGATCCAGCAGCAAAGCAACCTGCGCCTGCAACTGTTGCTGCTGCTGCTGTTGCTGCTGCTGTTGCTGTTGTTGTGGCCGGGATCTGCGGCGTGTTGCTGTTGTTAGATGTTGGTCGTGTTGCTGCTGGCGCTTCGGCGGCGCCGGCTGATGATTGCTGGCGGGCAGCAGGCCATGCTCAAGCATTTGCTACCTTATGCTCGCCGAGTTGAGCACAAAGGGCACATAAAACATTTTGCTTTCCAGCAACAAACTGGCCGCCGCTTGGATCTGGTGCGGGAGCACAATGAGAGCAGGAGAGGATTAGTTGAGATCGGCTTGGATTAGGCTGTCAACACTTACCTCGGGTATGTGGGAGAGCAGCTCGCTGAGCCGGGCCTGCGGATTCTGTGGCGATGAGCTCTGCAAATAGGAGCGCAGCACCTGAATGTAACGCTCCTGTATGCTCTCCAGTTCCACTTCTGCTAAGGGTCACAATGGGATCAACATGAATTGGGGACAATTTGTTTGAATGCGGACGTACCTTTGTTCAGCAATATGTAGACCTTGAGGCACACGTACTCCTCCATCTTGAGCTTGATGCGCCGGAACATGATCGTGATCTGTGTCATCTTGTCCACCATATGGCCCACATCCAGCTTGAGCTGCTCCATGGCAATCGGCTGGCCCATCAGCGTGGTAAGGCAGGTCTGCAGCGTGCTCAGATGCGAGTTGACCTCGCTGACAAACTCGGGATCATCCTTGTGCAGCGGCACCGGCAATTGGCTGGCCGTTGGCGTTGATGTTGGCGCCGGGGAGCCGACGTGCCTGTTGCTGCCGTGATTGTTGCTGGGACTGTTGCCGCTGCCCGAGCCAGTTCCCGAGCCCGAGCCCGCGCCAGTGCCCGAGCCTGAGCCTGAGCCCGAGCCGGAGCCCGAGCCAGTGCTCGCGATAGCGCCAGCGCTGGAGGATCGTTTGCCGTGGAGCGCCTGGTAGGCGGCGGTGGTCAAGATGAGTATCTCGTGCCATTTGTCGGTGAGGAGCTTTGTGTGTATCTCGACGGGTATTTCCAAGTAGAAGGGCAGCTTCTTTGTCCACGACACCAGCTTGTGGACAATGGAGTCGCCAATGTTGCACAGCTTCTCGCTGATCTCGGACTTGTCCTCGAGGAACTCGCTAAAGTGCGGCAGCGTGGCAATATCCTCCATGGCATCGCAATCGATCAGCGTCTGGATCATGGACAACGCATGCTCGTACGAGATCTGTCTGTCCTTCGACGAGCTGACCGCCGAGTCGAGACGATGCCGCAGATGCACAATCTCGCTGGGATTGGTCAGCGCCGTCTTCAATATGGTCCCATTCATCAGATGCGCCGGCAGCGACGCCTGCTGCTGCTGCTGTTGCTGCTGTTGCTGCTGTTGTTGCTGCTGCTGCTGCTGGTGATGATTGTGGTGCTGTTGCTGCTGCTGTGCCGCATTCGGCGGCGGCGGCGGCTGCACGTGATGCGGGGAAGATAGCGACAGATGCGGCGACGATTGTTGCTGCTGCTGCTGCTGATGCTGTTGCTGCTGTTGCTGATGTTGCTGCTGCTGCTGCTGTGCCGGGCTGTGCATGGGCGGCGGCTGCAAGTGCTCGGACTTGAGCACCGGACCCAGGAACATGGGCTTCAGCTCACCAGCGGCCGCATGGCCAGCGGCCAGCAGCTTCGATTGCTGATGTTGATGCTGTGCAGCGGCTGCAACAGCTGCCGCCAACTGTTGCTGCTGCGGCGAGAGCAAATGATGCGGCGACAACTGCGCCGGATGTCCACCATGTCCTCCCCCAGTCACATGATGATGATGTATGGGCGACAGCAACTGTTGCTGCTGTTGCTGCTGCTGTTGCTGCTGTTGCTGTTGCTGCTGTTGCTGCTGTTGCTGCTGCTGTTGCTGTTGCTGCTGTTGCTTCTGATTGGTCTTCTTGTGCTTCTTGTACTTGACCTTGTACAGATTGTAGACGGCGCCGCTGTTGCGTCCACCGGGCATGCGATCCTCCCGTACGGCTGGCAGGGATCACAAACAAACAAAAAGAAAAGGGTAAATTAAAGATTAGTTTTGGATAAGAGGTTAGGTTGGCTTCATCTACCGACCTTGCAGCACCATGCCCTGCTCGATGCACTTCTTAAATCGACAATACTGACAACGGTTGCGCTGTGCTTTGGTTATCTCGCAGGTGCCGTCCGCGACGCAGGTGTAGACCCTGCGGTTCTGCACCGTCCGCTTGAAGAAGCCCTTGCAGCTGCAGGAGAGATAAAGGATATGGAGATGGAGATGTAGAAGGAGGTAGTGTTAGTCTCTGTGGCTTGGATTGGAATTGCGGCGAGACTTACCCCTCGCAGGTGATGATGCCGTAGTGCAGGCCGGTTGCCTTGTCCTCGCATATCATGCAGACCAGCGGCTGGTCGTCCTCGTCGGTGGGCTCGTGCGGCGCCTCGACTGAGCGACCGCTGCCGCTGCCGGAGCTGGAATTGGAGCTGCCCCATTGCTGCTGGGCGCTCAGATTGAGCGCCTGCAGCTGGCCCGGCGGCAGCTGCGAGTAATCGCCCGCCCACAGGCGTTCCATGTTGAGGGCGTGCGGCGTTCGGAATTGATGCGGACGCGGACGCATATCCTGGATGCGCGTCTGGCCCAGCGACAGCAGCAGCTGTGCCGCCTCCTCGTTGTTCTGCGGACCGGGCGTATGCGTCGGCGTTATGGACCCGGTCGAGGGCGAGGAGGCGGTTTGCAGGCAATGCTGTTGCTGTTGCTGTTGCTGCTGTTGCTGCTGTTGCTGTTGCTGCTGATGTTGCTGCTGCTGCTGATGTTGCTGCTGCTGCTGCTGGTGTTGCTGCTGCTGGTGTTGCTGCTGCTGTTGCTGCTGATGTTGTTGCTGATGTTGCTGGTGTTGTTGCTGGTGTTGCTGCTGCTGCTGTTGCTGCTGCTGTCCGGGCGTTGGCGGCGGCGGCTCGTAGCCCCAGACCATGGTGCGCACGCCACAGCTCTCGCCCATGATGACGGTGGGCGTGCCGCGCGGCGGCGTCTGCGAGGGCGTCTGCGGCGACAGCTGCGACGAGGACGACGAGGACGATGGATGCGGCGAGGGGCAGAGCGGGCCGCCAATCACCTCCGGCTTGACGCCATTGATGCGCGCATTGCTGAAGCAGACCATGCGCTGTGCGGCCGCCGCTGCAGCTGCTGCCGCCGCCGCCGCTGCTGACGTCGGCTGCATTAGATGCGGCAGGCCCGAGGAGGCGGCGGCAGCCGCGGCCACCGCCACCTGTTGCTGCACCTCGCTCTTCACGCGAAACAAAATGGCCGCATCGCGGCTCGGATGACGCAACGATTGCAGCGAAGCCGAATGCAGCAGCGACTGTTGCTGTTGCTGTTGCTGATGTTGCTGCTGGTGTTGCTGATGTTGCTGCTGCTGCTGCTGCTGGTGCTGCTGCTGATGTTGCTGGTGATGCGGCGATAGATGCCGCTGCACCTGAACAGAACCAACGGATGATGTTGGCTCCTTCTTGACGCGTATCAGCGCATGCGGCGAATGTTGCTGCTGCTGCTGATGTTGCTGTTGCTGCTGTTGCTGCTGGTGGCCCAGGAGATGCAGGTGCAGCTGTTGCTGGGTAAGCTGCTGCATGGACTGCATCGAGAGCTGCGGCAGCTGCAGCTCCTGCGGCGGGCTGTTCTTGCGCAGCGTCAGCGGCTGCGTCAGCTGCTGGTGGAGATGATGCGTCTGGACAATGGAGGCGGGCGTCAGGCTGCCATGCCCATGGCTCGACAAATGGGCGTGCGGATGGGCATAGGCGTGCGCATGATGCTGGCCCGGATGCGGACCCGGACTGCCGCGACTTATGTGCTGCGATGAGCTGATCGAGCTGCTGCTGCTGCTGCCCAGCTCTCGTTCGCGCTCCCTTTCTCTTTCCCTTTCCCGTTCTCGTTCTCGTTCTCTATCTCGATCTCGATCTCTATCTCTGTCGCGCTCCCTGTCGCGCTGTGTGGTGGAGGAGGGCGAGGCGGGTGGCGGTGGCTCCGCTTTAATGCGCGACGGCGTCACCAGCACGGTCACATGTCCCGTGGCCGCCTTCAAGTCCCGTTCTCGTTCCCGTTCCCTTTCACGCTCCCGTTCCCGTTCCCTTTCACGCTCTCGTTCCCGCTCCCTTTGCTCCCGTTCGCGCTGCTGCTGCTGTTGCTGTTGCTGCTGCTGCTGCTGCTGATGGTAGGCAAGCATTTTGGTGGGCGAGGCCAGGATGCGCTCCTCCTTGACTGAGCGTATGACGCTCAGATTGCTGTTGATCTTGTTGCTGCCGTTGCCGTTGCCGTTGCCGCTGCTGCTGGTGGCCAACAGCCCATTGGTGGGCGTGCCGCTGCTGCGACCCGTTGTCGTTGATGGCTTCTCCTCGAGCGAGTCGGGCGAGGCCAGGCGACTGCTGCTGTTGCTCGAACTGGAGGCGCCGCCATTATTGTGCGGCGGTGTGGGCGTGCCGCGCGCATTCAATGCCAGCGAGAGGGCCTCCCCGCCGCCGCCGCCGCCCCCATTACCGCCACCGCCAGTGTCCAGCATGGCGCTGGGCGGCGTGCCGGCTGGCGGCGGCGGCGACATCACCGTGGATGCAGCTGCCGCTGTTATCGCGCTGCTGGATGAGTGTATTTCAGTCTGTTGATGCTTCACGGATCCGCCAGCCGATCCTGTGCTTGTTGCTGCCGCTGCCGCTGCTGCTGCTGCTGCTGCTGCTTTAGCTGCTGCTGTTGCGGTTATGGTAATGGTGCTGCTCGGACATGTTGCCGCCGACGTGGATGATGTTGCTGCTGCTGCCGCTGCTGCTGCTGCTGCTGATGTTGATGTTGTTGTTGTTGTGGAGACGGCAGCTGCTGCTGCCGCCGCCGATGTGGATGCCGCCGTTGTCACCGTTACCGTCACCGATGGCAGCGACGGCAGCGCCGGCAGCGCTGGCAGCGAGGCACCTGTGCCGCTGTCGCATAGCTTGGGCGACATCGGCGCCAATAGATCCGGCGACGAGGTGGATGTGTCCGCTATGGACTCGCCGTCACTGCTGCATCTTGAATCGATTTTGCGCCGCTTGAGTTTGAGGTCTTGAAAAAGGCTCATTTTATCGAGCTCGCTGTACGGGCCACGGCTCAGTGTCATAATTCCTGCGGGACACCGAGACAGACAGACAGGCAGAGAGAGAGGGAGAGAGAGGGAAGAGAGAGAGGGTAAATAAATGATTCACATTAAGTAACTCTACTCCATATAACAACAAATACTATTTACAGCTTAATACTACAAATACTTAAAAGAGACCAAATAGTTTCGAATGTTTTGTTAGAATATGTTTTGTTAAAGTAAGGAGCACGAGAATCCCTTCCAGACCCAAAACGGATCTTGAAATCTCGCAGAGTTTGCTCCACAAATCCATGTTTACACAATGAGCTACATTTACAACAGATCGTTCGTAAAGAATAGCCTAGCTAAGTATTAAAGGTGCGAAGCATTAACTTTCTTCTACCCATTAAAAATGGCTAAAGAGGGTATACTGTTTTTGTGCAAGTCTATGTAACGTGCTAAAGAAAATATCTACCAACTCAAAAAAAATATATGTATACATATATAGTCTTGATCAGGGGCTGATTGGGCTGATTGATCTGGTTCGATCAGTTATATATATATATATATTATATATATTCATGTATATCCAAGAGCTAGAGACTCGAAGTTTGCAATTTATGTTCTTGTATACCCTAGCCAGAAAGAGTTGAACTTTTTTCGATAGCTTTTTGCTATGTAAAAAATCGATAAATATCGATTTTCAGACTTGGTTCTTTAAGCAAATCTCGAAGAATATAACAGCTAGCTGCACCAAAACTTGTTATTTAGGATCTTCTTAAGTATGTATATGGCAGACATTCAATAAAAAGCCTGTTATCCATATAAGACCTGAGAAATTTGCCCAACATTCAGGGGGACAGAGTGAAGAAGAAGGAAACTGAAATGCTTTTAAACAGCAGCTTGGCGCTGGCTACAGGGTATCTCCTAGTCTGCCCAATGGGTACAAAAGGGTATACTTGTTCTGTGCAAATGTATGCAACAGGCAAAGGGAAGCATCTTCGACCCCATAAAATATATATACAATATAATAGAATAGATTCTTGATCAGCATCAATCCGTCCGTCCGTCTTTCCATTCGACTTTCCGTCCATCCGTCTTTCCGTCGATCCGTCTTTCCATTCCATTTGTCCGTCCGTCTGAGATCTAAAGACTTGAGTGAAATCGCAGCTCCTTCCAGTGCCAGCATAATACGAGTATGTCTTCGTTAATCGATAACTTGCATCGTTTCCAAGCAATCGATAAATATCGATGTCCAAATCCTATTTTTTTAGCAATTGACTTCGTTTTTAAAGGCGGGATTCACCAAAGTGGACTAGAATAGTATATAAAGAATAAATATCTTTCAATTTATGGCTGTGGGGGTCATGAGGCGCTGTCAAGTGGTTCGGTCTGTGGAAGATGGACGCGAGTTCGACAACTTATTTTGTATGTTTACTTTTTATTAATGCTAGTACATTCCTTGGGCAGAAGATGGCGCAGGGTATCCCCTAGTCGGGCACTCTTGCTTGCTGTTACATTGATCTATTTTGAACTCCTCAAGCTAAGTTGGGTGAGACTGTTTTAAGATCTGGCTCTCTCTTGAAGAACCGAGCTGTTCCTATTTAAAATATTCTTATATTCTTGTCTGAGAGATGTTGATGCTACGTTTCCCATGGCCATGACTTTGTCTCAAGCTGAAATCGTTTCGCATGGGTGTTAACTTGTCAAACTTGATTTGGCGTTTTAGAATTTCAGATTTTCATTTAAATTAGTTTTGTGTTATACTCTGCTTTCGAGAGGGGCATATCGGCTGTGTCTGGCTGGGCTCCATCCGATTATTCAGGCAACATTTCGTGAACCTGATCTCAGGCTTAGGCTTGGCTTATGAAACAATTCGGTTTTTTATTCTGTGAATCTTGCGGCCTGAATTTCCATCCCAAATTGGCAACTACCAAATATGTTTAGCTAAGATATTTACTTTTAAATCAAATCAAAGATTTCAGTTAAGCTTTTTTTTGGGCAACAGATTTGTTTAGGGGTTCGGTTCAAAGTACAAAATAAATGTTAATTCCGGACTCGAACCGGCTTGCTGCAAAACCGATTTGCAGCCTGGCTGATAACGTTACAGTAACTCAATATATTTTCTTGAGCTGATAAATCTCGAAGTTTCGTGTATGCCAAAAGAGTTTAAGATAGGCAGATAGGAAACTTTGAGTAATCTTTTCAAATTGAATGCGGCTAAAGAGTTCTAAATAATATCATATGAGAGGATCATATAATAAATATAAGACATATGTAGTAGATATATAGCATATTATAAGAGTACTATATAATATATATTATATAAGAGTACCATATATAAGAGTCCAGCTGCATCGAATTGTTATAATCGCCAAGGATTGTATGATAAGTGAAACTAGCTTTTTCTAAAAAGTTAAGGAAATTGCCAGAATATATATAGAGGGGAAGCACAAGACTTCAGCTGAGTTATACGCTATTTATTTATCTTAAATAGATATCGATTCGATTGGGTTATGCGACTTTGACATATATCTATGAAAGGGCAGATATCGATAGCTAAGGCATTTATCGATTCGATTGGGTTATATGACTTGGAAATGTATATAAAGTACTCTTAAGCAGTTATCGATAGCTTAAGTATTTATCGATCCGATTGGGTTACACAGCTATCGATAGCTAAAGCATTAATCGATTCGTGAGCTCTGATTGGGTTACATGACCAACGCATATCTATGAAAAGTACCCTAAATCAGATATCGATAGCCAATGCATTTATCGATTCGTAAGCAACCATCGGGCTATACGACTTTGACATATATCTGTAAAAAGTACTCCTAAGCAGTTATCGATAGCTAATGCACATATCGATTCGATTGGGTTATACGACTTGGACATGTATATAAAGCACCCTTGAGCAGTTATCGATAGGTTAAGTATTTATCGATTCGATTGGGTTATACAGCTATCGATAGCTAAAGCATTTATCGATTCGTGAGCACCGATATGTGGTTCGTCTGCAAGCCAAAGCGTCAACTTTTGCTTGGCCTCTGCGAGTCTATTTGTCGTCTGCCGCTCAAGCAGGTGAATCACCGCTGTCTTTGGCATGCATAAAATCATATATCAGCTAAAGTAGGTTTTTTCTTTTTTTTTTTGTTTTGTTTTTGTTTTTGCGACGAATCGAATTTTGCGGAAGTTATTGCCAAATGGTCAAAACAAAATTTGCATTTACTTCCCCACCAAAAAAAAAGCAAAAAAAAAAACGAGAATAAAAAAGCGCTGAAGAAGTCTCTAAAATAACTGGTTGAGCCGAAAGCGAAGAGCACGGAGCAGAGCGCGGGGGCGCGCACGGTTGTAGGCGGCAGGACGGTGGTGCAGAGGAGGGAGGGGGGGGGGGGGGTGTAGGGAGGGAGGTTCGTCATCTAATTAGCTGCGTCGCTGAGCATTTTGCTTGTCTTCGTCGAACGTAAAAGAAATAAAACGCAACACGAAATGGGTCAAAAGTAAATATGGACAGGCAGCTGGGAGGGTGGGCGGTGGCGGGGTCTGGGGGTTGGTGTGTAGGGTATTGTAGGGTAGGTTAGCTGGAGGGGCACGCTATCAGCTAGAAACGCCGAGCAGCACGCACCGCGCGCCTGCGGCAAGATAAGCGCTTGTGTTGCAATCTGTTGCAAGTTAGAAGTTCAAGCAGCGCCAGCGAGTGGGCGGTCGGCAGAGCGGGGGGGGGGGGTGGGTGGGGGCAGCAGCAGCTGCTTAACTTTCGATCGCATTGTTAATTCTAGCGCTCGCTCTCGCGCTCGCTCTCCCTCTCGCGCTCTCTCTCTCTCTCGCTCTGGCTTAATTGGTGAACGCGGTGCGTTGGCCCAGCGGCTGTCTGCGTGCTTGTTGTGCCTGTGCCTGTGTGTGTGTGTGTGTATCTATCTAATGCCGTATCTACACGCATGCCACGATCATTTGCCAGCGTCGGCAGCGACGTTGACGGCGGCGTCGCCAATGTCGCGTTTGTGTGTGTATTTTTAAAATTTGACCTATTTTCATTATCAAGCGCAAGATTATTCTAAACAATAAAGCCCATGCGTAGCTGTGTGCGTGTATTGTATGGCGCGTGGTAGCAACAGCAGCACACCCGCACACCCACACACACACACACACACACACACACAGCTGTTGCACACGCACCTGTGAGCCACAATAATGAGAAGTGAATATGAAGAACTCAACTGGGCAAAGTTGTTTCTATTTTTTTTTTTGCTTTTTTTTTCGAGAATTTCCAACAACAGCAACTGCAATTGCAGCCGCTGCGATGGGATCCCGTTTCGATTTCGAAGCTGTTCGGTAACTCTGGCAAAACCTTACACTCGACAAATATTGAATTCAAGGCGAGAAAATTCTACAGCTTGCAGGGAAAACTATTCGATATAGTTTTCGAATAGGTAACGGCTTATTAAAGTTTCGATATAGTTTTCGAAAAGGTAACGGCATAGTTTCGATATAGTTTTCGAATAGCTAACGGCTTATTCGGGTTTCGATATAGTTCCCGAATAGGTAACGGTATAGGTTCGATATAGTTTTCGTGTAGCTAACGGCTTAAATAAATTTCGATACAGTATTCAAATAGCTAACGGCGTATTTGAGTTTCGACAAAGTTTCGAATAGCTAACAACTTGTTTGGGTTTCAATATAATTAAATAACGGCTTATTTAAGGGTCGATATAGTTTCGAATAAGTAACAATATACTTTCGAACATATTACGAATATTCTTACAAGTAATATGTATTGCAAATAGTTAAAATGAAAGTTTTCATAATTAATTAACTTGAAATGACTTCGTTTACACATTGTGTTGAATTTGACTACCGATAACACCTGGCAAGATCGATAAACAAAAACAATTCATCAATATATCGATACAATTTGGCCTGATCGATTAATGATAAATAAGTCATAGTTATAAGGCTTTAATCGAAAATGACTATCAACATTAAACGATATTAGTTCAACTATTTTTCTACAATTTCGGCATTTGAAATGTCACAAGGTCTTCATCGGCTGCCAAATTCAACAAACTTAACTATCGATATCACAAGCGAATTTCATTTGTTGAAAACAAATGTGGACAACACGCTCCGTTTGCAAGTTAAGGCAGGCAGCTAAATCGAGCTAATTTCCATTATTTATCGATAACTTTTAAGCGTTAAACCCCGTCTTATTCTGCAGGTCGACTATCGATTATTTATCAGTGAATGAAGTCCAATCAACTGATGCGGACTTTTAAGTAGTGAAAAAATAAAATAATTTATCGATAGATTTATCGAAAGCTCAAATTTTCAAAGCACATACCACAATTTGGGTAATATATTGAAGGTATATAATATATTTCGCTCTTAACCAGATATCAGCAAGTTTGGGAAGTTTCTAACATCTGTTTGATTCGGTCGATTAACTGATCGATAACTAATTTTCAACTTGACTTGATCGATTAAATGATCGATAACGAAAGTTCGGAATTCTCTCAAAATCTTGAATATAAATAACAAAACGATAGGCTGCTATCGGCAAAAGTATTTGAGTACTTAAAATAAATATAAAATATAGAGTTTAAATAATTTTGTTTAGTGTAGCGACGCATGCTGTAAATCATAGTCACATTTCGAGTAAAATACAGCGGAAAATATGTGCAGCCAGAGTCGCACTGGGGCAATATAATATATACAAAGAGAGTGGTTGTTGTTGTGATTGTTGTTGTTGTGATTGTTGTTGTTAGTGGGGTTAGGAATGGTTGGGTATGAAATGGTAATACATATTTCTAGTTGATTAGTAACGATTACTACTTAAGAGGTTAGAGGCTTGGGTAGTTTTATTTTTTACCTATGGATGTCATAATTTTGTTGTTGCCGATTCGTTTCTTGAATTTGGATCGTAAAAGAATACGCTAAATTTTGTATGCCGATTGTGAACAAATTGTTTTTGTTTACGTATATTTGGTTGATTTCTTAAAACTGTTGTTGTTGTTGTTGGTATTGTTGGTATTGTTGGTATTGTTGGTGTTGTGTTTGTACTCGAGGAAAGCATTTAGGTTCTGTCTGTTGTGTGCGCCGCACTTGCCACATGGCGGCAGAGCCTGCGACAGCCAAAAAAAAATATAAAAATAAAAATAATAAAATTTGGATTCAGATCAAATTTTTTGTTGAACGCAGCTCACGAGCAAGATCTTGATCTTGAACGTGACGATGCGTTAGATAGGTTTGCCAATTGGAGTTTTTTAATTTTCATATTCATTTTTGTTTGATTTAATTATTTAGTATTTTTGTTGGTATTTTTGTGGTATTTTTGTGGTATTTTTGTGGTATTTTTTGTCACTTTTTCGAAAATGTTGTTGCAATTGGATTTTGAATAGTTATTTTAGTTTGTTGGGGGCTTTGCAGGGTGTCTGTGTGTGTGTGTGTGTGTAGGTGCAGGGGTTTGGGGGCGGGTTCAAGTACTATATGCATTATGATAAAAACGAGGTTATGTTATGTGAAAACAGAACGTATCAAAAGAAAAAAATACTAACGGCAAATGGGCGGCATACGAGATTTTTTCTTATAATAATTATTATAGTTGTTGTAATGAATGTTGTTGTTGTTGTTATTATTATTGTTGTTGTTGTTGTTACTGTTGCTGTTGTTGTTGTGAGAATTGCACTTGTTACACTTTTGACTGCAGGCATTCTGTGCCGCAGCCTTGTTGGCAGCTGCCGCTGCTGCTGCTGCGGGCAATGTTGCTGCCGTGCAGGATAATGTTGTTGCGGCCGTTGCTGCTGCTGCTGCTGCAACTGTTGCTGGCGTTTTTATATGAAAGTCTTGCGGCTGTTGCTGCTGCTGCTGCTCTTGTTGCTGGTCCGTTTGCAATTCGGCTGCAACATGTTCGGGCGTTGTTGTTGTTGTTGCTGCTGCTGCGGCTGTGGCTGCAACATCAGCGCCGCCGCCACTGCCGCCGCCAGCAGCAACAGCAGCAGCAGCAACATCATTATCGTTATCGCCGTCGCCGTCGTTGTCGCCGTCGCCGTCGTTGTCGCCGTCGCGTTCGCTGCCATGATGATGATAATGATGATGGTAATGATGATGATGATGATGATTATCATTCATAAATTGTTCTTGTTCATTGTTATTTCCGCTTTGAAAACCGGAATCGCAACCAAAGCCCAAAGCATCGTCGCCGCTGCTGCTGCTGCCGATGCCAACGTTGCTGCTGCTGCTGCGCAAGCTGTTGCTGTTGTTGCCCGTGTTGTTGAGTGCAACATGCGGCAGATTGCCATTGCTGCTGCTGCTGCTGTTGTTGTTGTTGTTGTTGCACTTCTTGAGCAACGTTTTATTGAGCGGCGTTTTGATAATGGTCAACTTGCTGCTGCTGCTGCTGCTGCTATCAACCTCCAAGCCGGCGTCCTTGTCAGCAATATTGTCGTCATCGATGCTGCTGCTGCTGCTGTTGTTGTTGCTGCCGTGATTGCTGTTGCTGCCGTGACCATTGATGGTTCTTAGCTGCTGCTGTTGCTGCTGCTGTTGCTCCTCGTGCGCATGCTGGCCATTCTGCTTAGCCTCGCCACTTTTGCTTGCCGTTGCAGCAGCTGCTGCTGCTGCTGCTGCTTCGGCAACGACAGCAGCAACATTGACAGCAGCCACCGTTGGCTCCAGGCTCAGCGGCTGATTGGCATTCATTTGGGCTGCGTTCGCTCCTGCTGCTGCTCCTGCTGCTGCTGCTGCTGCTCCTGCTGCTGGGTCTTGTTTTTAGGTGGGCAGACACAGCTGATGTACGGTGGCAACACTGGCAACTGTTGCCATTCTGGCAACGGCAACCGCTGGCAACCAGCGCCAACTATGACGCATGCTTCCACAACAATCCAGGCATGAGTTTGATCCACGGTTTATGTCAATCTCTTTTTTGGCGTTTATTCCACTTATTAGGATGCACACACGCACACACACTCACACGCACGCACAACAACAAGCGAGTGTTTCTCTCGTTATCACTGCACAGCTAATGAGCGAGTTGGAAGAAATGTGAGCGAAAAAAAAACAGAAGAAGAAGATTTCGACACACACACCCACACACAAATATCCTTGAGCTCTCTCGTTATGGCAGATGAAATGAAATGCACTTGTGATCGCTGATTATAAAGTGACGAGCAACGAGTAACGAGTGTGTGTGTGTTTGTGTGTATTTAGAATGGGGGATTTGGGGGGGGGGGGGCAACTCTTAGAGCAACATGAATACAACAAACATTAAAAAAAAGTACCAGATATAAACATAGATTTATACATAATTCGTATATGATCACTTTTCAAAAGCTGCATATAATCCGTTGACCGTTAGATAGTTGTTCTTGTTTCTGTACTCTGTTTTGTTCTAACTAGAAACAACGAGCAAACTGTACACACACAGACACACACACAGCGAGACATTGAGACAACAGCGAGTATGCATTTTATCTTTTATCTATATATACATTTATATATATACATATATAAATATATACATATATGTATTTATTAAGTAGTATATCCAATGAATATTACAGGCAGACCACATCAAATAAGGCGCGAGCGTTGAAATCCCGTATTGACCGTTAATTGTAACTGTATTTCGCACGCCGAAAGTTCCGAATAACAGTAACCGGGTACTCGTTAGTACGCGCACTCGTTGCACACAACAACCAAAATGACAACAAAATTATTACACAAAAAAAAAGTACTTAAAAAAATTCCAAAAAAAAAATATTTTTTATTTTTTTTTTTAACCGAAATTATGTAGTGTCTCTTCCGTATGACAACACACAACAAACAGAGAAACAGCGGCCAAGAGTCGCTTTCGCGCCGTGTGTGTTGTTTGCCTCGTTGTTGTTGTTGTTGTTGTCGTTGTTATTGTTGTTGTCGTTGTCGGCTGGTTGTTGTTTTGTTTGATGCTGCTCCGCGGCCAACGTGCGTACATTCGAACGAAATAAAGTGAAATGAAAGGAGTAAGCGAGCGAAAGAAAGCAAGCAGCAGCCACAAACAGTCTCAGCCCAGTCAGCCAGCGACGTCTGCGCTGGCTGCGCTGCCAACGTAGCTGGTTGCAGGCGCGCGCGCCTCGGAAACTAGCGCGGAACAACAACAGCAACAACAACTATTTTAAAGCGTCGCTGCCGCTGCTGCTGCCGCCGCCGAAAGCCGAAACGATCGACGTCGTCACAGTCAAAGCAGCGCGCCATTAGATGGCAGCAAACGACGCGGCCGCAGTCGCAGTCGCAGTCACAGCCACCGTCGCCGTCGCAGCGGCCGTCGACTGCAAACGAAAATGAAAACCAATAGACAAAAAGTAAAAAAGCACACACCAATACACACAAGCACATGCATAGCGCAGTCATAGACACAGACACAGACACAGACACAGACACAGACAGAGACATAGACCCAGGCGACGTCGACGTCATAGTTATGCTTTGCGGGCCGCTCGGCAACACATTCGGCCAAGCGCGTTCGCATTCGCGTTCGCGTTCGCGTTCGGCTGCAATAAGCGCTAGCTAGATAAATGGAGAGAACAAGAGAGTGAGAGAGCATGAGAGTGGGCGCGCACCAGAAGCTCATAGCTAGCTACTCTATAGGCAGCTTGCATGCATTGCATTTGCCCGCGCAACCATACCCACCCCCCTCCCTGCAGCACACAGGAATAACTCCGTTGCGTCTGGCGACAGTTTCAGTTGACGTCGCTGCCGCCTAGGCGCATGTAAATAGAAAATAGAAACATGAAAAACGAGAAAAAAAAACTCTAATAACTTTGTGAGGCGCTCCCCCGCCCAAAAGCACACTTTATGCTTGCATGTGAGTGTGTGTGTGTGTGTATAGCATTTGAATGAATATGTGAAGTTTTATAGTGTGTTTGTGTGTGGACGTTGACCGGCTTGCCAGTGGGTCGCATTTATTGCAGTTAACAGCAGGCAGTAAAAGCTTTGCTAGCTACTACGGCTCCGACGCCGACTCCGAGTCCGAGTCCGAGTCCGACTTCGTCTTCGACTCCAACTTCGGCTCGGATTCGGGAGTCGGGACTTCGGGACTTCACATTAGCAATACGTAACTGAACGAAGGAACCATACATAAC